CTATCTATTTACTTTTGACTTAAACATATTGAACTAAAATCCATAATTCATAAAAGAAGTCTGAAACACTACTTTCCTATTTTACCCTTCGACTCCAAAGCGTAAACCGAACTATTGGATCATATATCTACATTACCCACATCCAAATAGGCCTAAACCTCTCTTCCCCCAAAGCTCGAAGCCTAATGATACTTGATCTTCGGGTCACGGTCCCGAATTGTGAAACGACTCGAAACAGGGTGTTACATTAAGTGTACTTGCATCTTAGATCTAGGTTTTAATATTATGACAATGTACTTTCAAAACTATTAATATAAACTAAAAAGAGAGATTGATTTACTAACCTTTCAAGTATAATTGTATATACTTATGTATCGTTGATGATCTTGAGTTCCTTGCTTGCTCTTGGAAGATCTGGCACCCAAAGTAGGAATGTCTCTAATAACTCACACCCAAAAGACTAAAACTCTAGAACTTTAAGAGAGAGAGAGAGAGAGAGAGAGAGAGAGAGGATTGAGGTTGAGAAATCTGGAATTCACAACCTTGTGAATAGTAAAATCGGTTTTTCTAAGGCGTTGAGGGGTCTTTATATAGTTATGGTAATTTCTAGATAAACCTAATTTGGATCAATTAAATAATCATATTTAATCATGATTCAAATCTTTATCCTTATTTGCCACTCAAAAAATTCAGGAAGCCCTCTAGAATCGTCCACTCATATGGACATCTAGAATGTTCCTTTTGATAAACTATCGAACAATTAACATTCAGTCCCCGTACCTTCAAATAAATCCAGATTAATTGCAAATTAATTCTAATTAATTCTAACTAGTTTCTAACTAATTTATTAACTTGTAATAAATAATAAATTGTTATCTCACTTCCTTAAATTATTTTCTAGCTATTTTAGCTCTTAAGGGCAACCCAAGAAGGCCTTTGTAATTATTCCCAAAATTATACCAAATAGTTATGACATTGGACACCTATTTCCAACATTCCCTCCTCCACAACGTACCTCTCCAACATCGCAAAGCTCCGGCCGACGCCATCTTTGTACCGCTCTAGTGTCATAATTCTCTCCTCCGACTGACTCCACACCAAAGCCTAAACGTGTTTTTCCTCTTCACACCTTCATCTCAACACTGTTGACTTTTCCTCCTCGGTTATCGTCCGATGAGGCATAGCTTCGGCCTCCATTTCAGCACTACCTACTCCACGCCAAAGCCTGAATGTGTTTTTCCTCTTCACGCCTCCATCTCAACACAACTCCGACCGACGCCACCTTCGCACAACTCCAATGCCATAATTCTCACCTCCAACCGACTCGACGCCAACTCTTGAACGTGTTTTCCTCTTCACGCCTCTATCTCAACACTACCGGCCTTGCCTCCTTGGTCGTTGTCTGACGTCAGCGTTGTTGGCCTTGCCTCCTCAGCATATAACGGATGTCTTCGCACAACACCACCCTTTCTAACTGTCTATGATATGTAAGAAATTCGAAATAACATATGCTTTTTGATGTTATTTTTATGATTCCTTAGTGAAATATGATTTTCTTGTTGAACCTTATTGAAATATGACTTTCTTGGAAATCTGGATGAAACCTTGTTGAACTATGATTTTCTTACTAAAATGTTGTTGAAACTTAATTAAATATTTTTTGAATTTGTTGAAAATTTGCTAAATTTATCGAAAGCTTATGATTTTACTAAACTATTGGTGTTTGTTGTTTGCTCAAAACTTGTTATATGGATTTTTTTTTAAAAAAAATTTGATGGTTTTTTGTTTCTATTATTATTTTAAACACTAAGTTAAAATGATCATTTTTATCATTTATCACAATCATTTAAATGTCTAACCAAACAATATATTTTTATTTGGATCGAATGTTTTTAAAACCTCTAAGCCATTTATATATCTAACAGTCCATATATCTTTCAGATCCTACCAAAAAAAAAAAAATTCTAACACTATCATCCCAAATGCATTGCAAATGGCAAGGTTTCCATGCATGATATCGTAGGCTCTTCCATCCCTAATCATTTCCAAGTTCTTTGCGTTGTTTACTTCTTTTTCCATAATCCGTCAATCATTCCATCATCCAGACCCCTTTGGATAGTTTTTCTCTTTTTATAGTAGTCTTTTTATTTGTCACGCATCCATTTTATTGTTTAGTTTCCTATTTTTATTTGTACTCATAAATTAATTTTGACATTAACATATATACCAAGTTCTTATAAAAAGAACTCTCCAATGTATAATTATATAAATGAAACATATCTTCTTATCCCTCAATAATCAATATTTTATCTTCGTCTATACATATATTTTGTGTTTTAATTTTATTCAAGGTTTGTATATACCATATAGGAATACTTTTTTTATAGGCTTTTCATACTTAATCTCCTTTTAACTTTTTTTTTTCATGCCTTTACGAGGTATTAAAAATTAGATCAAAATAACTACAAATGATAAGAGAAATCATTAAAAATATCTACAAGCGATGAGAGAAATCATTAAAAACTAGGAGACTTCAGTCTTTAATTATGTGAGTGAAAAGTTTGTACATTAAAGTACAGCAAAGGATTGGAGATGGAATGAATCCAAAGTCCCCTGACATTTACTTGTATCTGCAAGTACAGTTGCCAGGTAGCGTTTGTTTGGTAGTCTTCCTTTAACTAACTTTTAATTACTTGTAGATTAAAATTAAAATGATTAATGTTAGGACTATTAAAAACATAGTTAATAAATGATAGAAACATGCTAGAGAGAAATGTTGTCATTGATAAAATATGACCGTCAATATTTACTTCCCATTTTAAATGAGGGAGTGGAACATTCTCACCCCATTCAACTGCAGTTTTTCTTTATTTTTATTTTTTTTCAACCTACAGCACTTAATAAATAACATATTTCTCATCCTACTCAATCCATCCACTACAACATTATTATTTTTAATAATTAAAAACATACAAGTTAATTAATAAAATATATATAACTTTAATATATATATATATGTGTCTATGTAAAGAAAAGGGGGGGGGGGGGGGGGGGGGGGGGGGGGGGGGCACAAGAGCTCCACAAGGAACCCGCTAGTCCGCTGAAAGTTTACGGAGTAAGGTTTTCGGCGATATCGTTAGTCCAATCCCCCTCCTTCTGAATCATTCCGACCATCCTAATTAAATACTTATGTTGTTGTTGTTGGTGTATTTTGAATTTTTTACTCTTTGTAGTTTTATTTTCATTCCGCCTATATACATATTATAAGAAAGAAAAAAAAACAATACCTAAAAATTGAGAGGCTTTATGAATTAAAATGGTAAAAGATAGTGTTCTTTATTTACTTATTTTATTATTTTAAAAACATAACATAAAAAAGTAATACATCTTTTGGACGAAAATAATGTAAAATTTGTTAGAAAAAATAAAATAAAAAATTCTGTGTAGTGGGCAACAGGTGTTCGGTGACTGGGGATTCAACATCATGGAATATCTATTTGATGTATATATACTGTTATTTAATTCGGTGCTTTGATATTAAAAAAATAACTCGTGGATCACGTATTATTACAAAACGTAATTGTATATGTAAATTTCGTAGACTTTACTACATTAACATGAAATAATACATTTTAAAAGTAATTATGAACTCTTTGAAAATATAAGTCGACGATTAATATTTAATTGGTATTTGAATAATAAACTATAAAAGTATAGGATTATAAACATGTACGTATAGTAGTTATGAAAAGAAAATCGATAATGCGTAAGAGACAAAGTGTGCACAGCTGTGCACCATTTAAATTATCTTCATCCACATATAAAAACAGCTATGTATTGAGTTTATATGCGAGGACACAACCAAAAGTGAAAAAAAGGGAAAAAGTGTTAGGAGCCGAGGCTGCCAAACTGTGTCATACCACTTCATTTCCTTCATTATAGTTTTAAGTTTTAACAAGAAATTTTGTTTTCTTACATATGCGTACTTTAGTTATAAAATCAACTAAAATGTATGAAAATATTTAATAAAATGATTATTTTTGGGATTTACACAAAATAAGTATTGTTTTCTCACTTAAACCATGTGTTAAGGTCATCACGTATAATAAGGTTGTTCAAAAGTACATGTATCCAAATATTTGATCTAAAAAATCGGATATCTAGCACAAAAATATCAGGAAAAATAGGATATCTAAAATTTCGGATACGTAAGATCCAAATATCTAAATTTTCCTATTTGAATTCCTATAAATTTAAGATATTTTGGATATTAGATATTCGAAAATATGAATTTCTGTTGTTACATTATTATCTTATCTTATCATAAGAAAATGTATATTTGGAAGATTTTAGGTTAGAAATTTATAGTTTTTTATTGTTTCATATGATTTTGAATTGTTTTACTATAATTTATCTTAATAAAAAAACTATAACCGTATCATCTAAGTAGTCACGTGGATCTCTCTCAAGCCAAGTGGATCATTTTTATGATCCATGATTCAATTTTAATAATGCAAAAAAAAATTCAAAATTTTTTCTCCCGGATATAGTACTATGCTCGATTTTATGATTTATATATTTTTTAGATTTTTTTAAAATTCTTTTAAGGTGTCCTCACGAGTCCTTACCGAAACCGGACCCTATATATATATATATATATATATATATATATATTATATATATATATATATATATATATATATATATATATGGATGAATTCAATATAGAACCAAACTAACTCATAGAACCATAATTGGGATAATGACTTGAGAGGGTAACATATTATTACTTTTTGTCACATTTGGTCACAAAACTTTTTTTCGTGCTCTAATAGCCATTTAACTTGTTGATTCGTGTAAATTTCCCCCCTGCGACTGCTTTTTGCTAGTTGCAATGGATTGATCGATCCTACATGTCAGTTTGATCCTACGTGGCATGTAGGGCTAATGTTATTAAAAGAGGGGTGTATATGGTTCCTTTATTGTGCCCTAATACCCCGATGGCTTCCTCCTACAGCTTCTCATCATCCCTCAATCGATCAAGCAAGAAATCAACAATGAACGATCCAAAAACTTGTGATTGTGGGTTCCCTGCACGTATTCTAACGTCAACAACACCAAAGAATCCAGGGAGGCATTTTATGGTGTGCAATGAGGTAAGCTATTTCACTTGAATCTTCTCCCTTTTCTGATTCTTTTTTCCTAATTTGAAATCTCATTATGAGTTATTTGTGTTGAAGGGTAAATGAAAATATTGGAAATAGTTGGATGTAGAACCTGTACAAATGCCTCTAATGGAAGTGGACGGAATGAAAGCTGAATTAGTAGCATTGAAGACCGAAGTTGAGAAGGTGAAGGAAGACATCGAACAAATGAAGAAGGAAAAGTACTCTGATGTCATTGCAATGAAGGAAAAAATATATATAAGTTTACCATAGGATTTCTTTTTTTGATCATCGTGTATATGATGAAATGATGTGAAATGATGTATTGAAAAATGTTGTTTAAATAGAATGAAGGCATTATATTAACTTCTTGTTGGAATGGAATGAAGTAATTTTAACTGGAATGGAATCACAAAGTAGTAATTTTGACTGGAATGGAATCACAAAGAAGTAATTTTGACTGGAATTAGAAAGAAGTAATTTTGACTGGAATCACAATGTAGTAATTTTGACTGGAATGGAATGACAAAGTAGCATACATATAACAATGAATACATATATGTTCATGTTCAAAAGATTGATTTGAGAGAAAAGTATGATTGAAAAGAAAAAACTTCTTATTTCTCTTCTGAACAACTACTGAACTATTACATATATGTACAATTAGTAACATTACACATCAAGACGTCTAACTAACTTGTAACAAACTAGAAAGTAGAAAATGACGAAACTACCCTTGGTAGTTAAAATTGATTAACTGTCATATTAGCTACGCTAACAATATATGATTCCATTCTTTGAGTGTAATGGAATCACTAAGACAACAATGCATACAAATAACAAGAAAGTAATTGAATATGGTGGTTGGATTCATTGAAATACTCCATCAATATTCAAAATTAAATAAAGGGCAAGTAGTTGTCTGCATACACAAAAGATTGGACAAAAGATTCCTACTAGGGACCATAAAAGAAGGGTCACCATGTGCCCACACACCCAAAAGAAAAGCATAAATAAAACATATTACTTTGTCTTTACATCACAACTTGATAACAAAAGATGTGCCCACCCACTACCTACACACTAACTTAATCAAGGACTGCAGGGTTCTCTGCACTGTTCCCAACCCCAGATATGTTCCTCCTCAATGCCCTTTTGAAAATCCTTTCAGAATATTGCCTCCATCCACTTCTACCAATTAGGGCCCTTCTTGGGACAGGCCTTGCAGCTGCTGCTAGTGGTGGTGGTGGAGGTGGTTAGGCTGCTGGTGGTGGTAGTGGAGGTGGTTGGGCTGTTGCTGGTGGTGGTGGTTGAGGTGGTTGGGTTGTTGTTGCTGGTGGTGGTGGTTGACTTGGTCCTGCTCCACTACCCCTGGAGGAACCTGGTGCTGCAAAAAAATTAAAGTCTCATTTACTTATCAAAATGATGTATTATGTTCGGATGATTGGGACATTTACCTGATGTATTTGTTTGCTGCTTAGATAGACACTTTTTATTGTTATGTCCTGGTTCCTTGCAAATACTACACCTTATCAGGGCTCCCCTTCTTGTCACAGAATGTCTAACTGGGCCACTCAACTCTCTTTCCACTGCATCACTCTTCCTTTTCACTGATGGCCTACCAGGTAATCTTCTTCTTTTGGGAGGCAAATGATTTTGATAAGGAACTTCTAGCCACATATCACTACCATTGAGAGGGTTAATGCTATAATTGTAGCATTTTAGATAAGCCTCTTTACTGTATGATTGGGACACATATGTTTCTGCATATTGATTCAGGGAAGATATTGCAGCTACTCCATGTAAGCATGGTATCCCTGTAAGTTGCCATATTCTACATGCACACGTCTTTGCAATTAGATCCACTCGATATGCTGCATCATTGAACCTAACTTCATACTTTTGATAACCACAAGGAGTAACCCCCCACAATCTGTATAAGGAAATAATGAATACAAATTAATAACTAATAACACAAACTAATAAAAACCATTTGTTGAATTGTAAAACTACATGTTACCTCTGTTTAACTTTCAAATCTTGTATAAGCTTCCTAATACTTGGACAGATAGTCAAATCTCATTCATTTTCTTCTAGTCTTTGACTGAATATCCTCTCCATCACAAATATCCTAATCTCCTCTAGCATAGTGATGATTAGTTTCCTTCTAGCATGCCTAATAGCAGAATTGAAACTCTCACTCACCCCATTCCCAACTGCATCACAATCTCTTCCCTCTTTAAAAAATACGTTAGAGCAGGTAGTAGGATCTCTGTCTATAAGGTAGTCATATGCTTGAGTATCTAAAGATTTGATCTTTTCGATTACATGCTTGAACTTCTGTTCAGTACTAGCTTTGATAGCCCTCCAAAAAAGCTTCCTGAAATGTTGACCAGTAAACCTTTTAGCAAAATTAGCCACAATGTGCCTGGCACATTGTATGTGTTCAGCTTCTGGACACCTTTCTTTTACTGCTTCTAGCAACCCCTATAAATAACAACAACAAAATTAGTGAAACATGCATAAAAACAGATGTATAAATATGAACTAAGGCTCACCTTGTGTCCATCAGAAATAAGGGTAATGCCTGCACCAAGACCACCATCAATTTCATCCATGAGGAGATCTATGAACCACTTCCATGTGGCCTTGTTCTCAACCTCAACTACAGCCCATGCTATAGGTTAGATGTGGTTGTTTGCATCCCTCCCTACATCTGCCAAAACTTCTCCCTAACAATACCCTTTAAAAAGCAACCATCAAGGCCAATCACAAGCATGCACCCTTCCTTCCAACCATCACTTACAACTTTAAAGCAGACATAGTAATTAGAAAACAAAGTTGTGGAATCTGGCATGATGTCTACATCCATCCTTACAGTAGACCCAGGGTTTGTCCTCATAATTTCATGACCATATGACCATAATCTCCCATAATGTTCAATTAGACTTCCTCTAATTTCTTGTAATGCAAATTTCTTTTACATTTATGCATTGCCCCACACTCACATTTATATTGAATGTTGTTGAAACTTTAGCTTTCATCTTCCTAACACTCATTTTTGGCTTCTCTATAATTTCACTCATAAACTGTTTTCGTAACCACTTATAAGTTACTATAGACCCAAACTTAAACACCCTGCTACAATTATGTTCACTAACTAAAGATTTTATCTGAAAAGTCTTCTCTTTACTCATCCAAGAGGCCCAAAGTCTAAATGGACAAGTAGGTGATTTGTTCTTTTTGCAACATTTAACTAACAACCTTTGGGAGTCATTTTTTTCAAACCAAAGATAATATACATTAGCAATTGCATAGTTGCTCAACATGTTTTTAAGCTCATCAGGGTTAGTAAATCGCATACCTAACAGTGGTTTCATCTGATTCCATGGTTGTCTATCATCATGCACAGGGTATTGAGGTTCAACATATACATTTACTGTATGTAGACAAAGTTTGTTTAAGAACATGTCACCCATGGTTTTGTTGGCTGAGAATGGATATTCAACATCATCTTCTTCATGGTCAACAGAATAAGTGTCCGACAAGACTGAGTCTTCATCCTCTACACAGCTATAATCTTGATCTTCATTTTCCTCTTCCTCAATCCATTCGAAGATTGGTTCATTATAGTGGTCCACATACACATTCATTCTCCTCTCATTTGCATAAGCCAAATCCAAAAATTCTTTGTAATCACCGTCATTCACCAGTGTATGAATTCCCTGACTTAAAGACTCTTGTGGAAGGCAGAAGTAGATGTCTTTGCTTCTACTTCTGGTGAGCTTCTGAAGGAATTCCATGACTCCTCGTACTCAAATGCACTGAAGTCAAACATCTCGCACTGATTGTCTGTCGGGATCAAAGTATACTAATGGGTTGGGTGCAAACGTTCCATTGTAGTGGAAATCCACTACAATGAAGTTTCGATCAGTGGGACATTGTGATGAAGCCATTATAGAGACCGATTGAAGATTGAAGGAGACAAAATCGGGGGTTAATGAAACTTGGTGCCCTAATCGAATTTAAGGACCAAATGAGACTTCACTCTTAACTTTAATGAGGACGGGAGGCAAAATCGGGGCCTATATGCCACCTCATCGGCCACCTAGGATAAAAAAAGCCACATCAGACCGATTCAACCGTTGAAACCGACCATAATCGGTCATAGAGGGAAAATTTACACGATTCAACAAGTTAAATGGTTATTAGAGCACGAAAAAAAGTTAGTGACCAAATGTGACCAAAAGCAATAGTATGTTACCCTCTCAAGTCATTATCCCTATGAAAAAGATCCAAAAGTGTGGATAAGGTTCACAATCAAATCTTTTTTTGTGGTTATTATTCCTGTTAAACATAAAAAATACCGCTTTCCCTTTTTTTTCTTTTTTTCTTTATTTAAATACTTTAAAGTGTTTTTGATTAATTAGAAATAGAAATGAGCCACATCCAACTCACCGCTGCATATCTCTTTTTTTCTTTCACTCTCTCTCTCTCCCCCCTCTTTGTCTCTCAACCACCACAAACACCCGGAACCCTATACTTAATGTAAGAACCTAAAATGTAGAGAAAGTTGACTTTAAGTCAAATATTGTCCAAAAAGAGAAAATGGTCAATTATGAGAAAAAAATGAGAAAATGAAATTGTGACTTCATGAAAATGGACAATAAGAGTTTAAGTCATTAAGATGAGATTAGATGAATAAGTTCAAGAGAAAAAAATGCATGAGAAGATGCATTTTTGGTCAAAAGGATAAGATGGGGATTTTATTCTTTTTCGGTCAACTTTATGACTTAATAGATTATGACCCTTATTAAGTCAGTGAGATATGACTTAGTAGAGTTGTAGAGTATGTCCCCACCTTCGCGTGGATATAAAGATAAGAGAAAATGGGTAAGAAACAAAGAAGTTATGCGCGTTAGAGGTTGCGACAAAATTATCACAAAGTTGGAATGGAATCCGCCAAGGAGCTGTTGTCAAGCAGCTACCGCGGCGCAATGGATATAACGCCACGACAAGGCGGGACTTCTTCGTAAGAAAGAATAGTAATGTACTTTGCCCCGCGGCATGGTATATGGGTGTCACGATGCAGTGGTCAATGTAGGATACTAATGGAAGAAGAGCACTACGACATGGCAAGCAGATCGTCACGACATGGGAAGCAAATGGCTATCATTTGAGCGAGGTCAACTGGTCACCATGACGTAGTAAACAGATGGTCACGACATGGTTACACATCACAGTTAAAGGCTGTTAAGCCTTCATTCTCGCCAAAAAACACCCCCAAAACTCTTTGGAACTAAGCTTCGGCGGTTCCGAGGAAAGGAGATGATAAAGAGGCGATTAAGGGTGTTTGAGGCTTAGATTGGAGATTAAGAGTTGATGAGGTAATAGTTTTAACCATTTTCTAGATAATTAGGGCTAAATGGTGATTTTGATTATCTGAGCTAGTTATGTTAGATTAGAGTGAAAGCATGTTAATAATGTTAATTAAGGTGCTTAGATCCCTTAAACAAGCTTTGTATGTAATCGCCATGAGTAGGATCAATCCAATGAGAACCCTAACTAGTGATTATATGTAATTGACGTATTAGATGTTAGATTATAATGAATTAGGTATCATGGGGTGCTTAAATCATTAATTGATTGTGATTTAGAGATATAGAATGAAAAGATAGAATTATGAGCCATTAAGTGGTCATTTTGACCATAAGAGTCATTAAGCTCTTAGTAGGATAGGACAAGTATTAAGAACTTATATATGTGTATGATTAAGCCTAAGAGAAAAGAAGATGGAATCAGAATGCATCAATGGCAGAGTAGAGGAAAGTGGGTCAGTTAGTCTTCACTAACTAATAAGGTAAGTTATTGCTGTCGCTCTCTCTTTAGATTATGTATTATATATATATATATATATATATATATATATATATATATATATATATATATATATATATGTGTGTGTGTGTGTGTGTGTTGGATCTTGGGGCACTAAGTGAATGTCCCCAAGTAATGAGATGAAGATAAATAAAGAATATACGGGTAGGAACATGTAGCTGAGAATATACGTATATTTAGAGTATGTATGAGGTATACATTAGAAACATGTATATGAGCATGTAAGTATACCTGAAGGAAATATGGTCAGATAAGGAGGGTATTTTTTAAATACCTAAGAGATGGAAGAAAGAGTTAGGAGATGATTATATGATGTATAATCATAAGAGTATAAATGTATGTCTAGACATTAATGGTATTACATAGAATACCAAAATGTTATTAGACATAGATAAAGATTAAGTACTTAATGAGTTAAGTACTAAAAGAGAAAGATTAGATGATCTATTGGTGAGATAAAGGGAACCTTTAGAGAAACAATATAAAAGTGTTCTTTGTAAGAACTTAGGTGTAATCCATGAGGGATTAAGAGTAAGGAATCTGTGAGGGATTTTATAAAAGAAAAAAGATTAAGGATCCACAAGGGATCATAAGAGAGAGGATCAAGACCGGATGAGTGTTCCCGATAATGATAGTAAGATGTTATTTCCCTTAGAGTATGGTATGGGATAGGACCGTTGGCTCTAGATGAGAGCAGAATGCTGAGGTATTAGAGAAGAGACAGAGTAGAGAAGAGAAAGAGTAAAAAAGAGGCAGGGTAGAGAAGAGAAAGAGCAGAGAAGAGATAGGGTATGTGTAGAGCATAAGAAGATCCTAAGAAGAGGCTAAGAAAAAGAAAGAGATTAAAAGAGGAAAGTATGAGAAACAAAGTAGATTACAGAGAAATAGATAAATGAGATGAGAAAGAATATAAGGAAAAGATTATAGAAAATATAGAAGGGATGGATGAATGAGAAGACTATGAGTGTGTGCTATTAAGAGAAAGAGTTTAGTTGACGAAGTGTGGGAAAGAGAGAGAAGAGAAAGATAGAAAGAATAACTCATCATACACAACATAACTCACAATACACGTTGTATCTGATGTTGCATAGATTTTTATGTTTTGCAGGTTCAGGTTGCAACAACCGTGGTACCAAAAGAGAAGATATGAGCACAAGGTCAAGAATTAGATCATAGGTTGTTATTAATTATACTCATCTTGCTTTTCATGTAAATAGTTAGATTTTATTATAAAACCATGATATTTCTGGGGATGTAAAGTGTTTTAATTTGTATAGAATTTCACAGTTGTTAGATAAAACGTTGATATATCCCTTAGATTAGATGTTAGAAAATATGGGTTGTTACATATAATGGTCCATATTGCACCATCAGAGAGACTACCACCATCTCCTCCCTCATTTACCTTCATCAGAAAAACCTCGTCGTCTCCTTAAACATGTATCAAATACTTATCAAACTTACCCCTCATTAGAAGTTTGATCTCCACCCTTTAACTGATCGATGCTTTCTCATATTACTTCCCAACACCATCACGACTTCTCCCTTTTCCAATGGTTGGAATCAAAATCACGTGGATATGTTATTTTCATCTCGTTTGGGAGTGAAGTTGGACCCTCAATTGAAGAGTACAAAGAACTAGCGAAAGCCTTGAAAATCTAAAAAGTCTTTAATCTAGGTGATCTAGTATGTAACTTAGGCATCTCCTGTTATTTCTTGGGGTTTCTTGGGTAGTGGTGGGTCAAAAAATGATGAGGAAGAAGAAGAATAAAGGCACCACAACTGTCGATTTTGAGCCGCCCATCTACTAGCGGGTTCTTATCTCATTATAGGTGGAGGTAATATGTATTGGAAGAGAAGCACAAACTGGGAAACATAACAAAAAGATCTGTACTATGTTGTCGAAGGTTTTGTGGGTAAATGGTTGAATGGATTCGACTACCAAAAATGGATTCCTACTCCCTCTCTGTATATGCATACAAAAAAATCAGAAACAAGGATTAAAAACAAACTGCTTACGGCTGCTTGGATCAAGCTTCAATTAAATAAATGTATTTTTAGGAGGAATATGTGGGTTTTTATTTGCGTCTTCCAGTCATCCCCAGAGAAAAGGAGAAAAAGAATCATGTTTGGTTAGACATTTTCACCTATGTGTCTATTATTCTATGTTATTATGTATGAATTGTACTCACCCCTCTCCTCTTTCCTTGTATTTCTCTTCAAATATGATTTTTGCAGGTTGTGAGGTGATGGTGGCAATGGTGTTAGGTTATGATGATGAAGGTGTGTGGGTGGTGAGAATTGAGAAGATGATAACATGCTTGATTCCTCCTCCTTCCTTAGATCTGTTGATGAGATCATAAACAAACGAGAACATGCGACGAAGATGGTGATAATCGATGGTTGATAATGGTAATGGTGGGTCTATGATGGTGAGATGAAGAACGGGAGATGAAGCTGATCGCAGAACGTTTTTTCTAGAGAACCATAAGAGGATGATATTAAGTAAGCTTATGGAGAAGACAATGATATTTTCGGGAATGATGAGTAGGTCCTTGCAGGCTCCAACTTTGTGTATGTAATTGTATGCCCTCTTTATGTATGTGTGTGAGAGAGAGAAAGAGAGGTGGGTTTGAGTTGGATGGGGCCCATTTTTGTTTCTAACTAATTAAAACACTTTAAAGTATTTAAATAAATATAAAAAAGAAAAAATAAATAAAAAAGGACAAGATATTATTTTTCATGTTTGACATGGACCATAATCACAAAAAAGATCCGATTTTAGACCATTCATGCAAATTAAAAAGATTTTGGACATTTTTTTGCAATTTTTTACTCACCATAGGGACCAAAATTGCAGTTTAGTCTTTTATTTATGAAATATAAAATTATAATTATATAATTT